GAAGACCGATCACTGATTCTTTTATAACACATGGTATCTACAGCCTCAGAAAACCTGACAAGGCTTGAATTATATTGTTTTGCTGATTATTTTGAATGATTCTAAGGTGTCTACTTCATATCCTGTGTTGATAATATACTGAGTGAGATCTAAGCTTTTTGGTATATGCTTAAAGAATCTGCTTCAATAGCTGTTATTTCTTTAATCAAATGAAATTTTTATTTGTGATCTATTAGCTTAATATATGAGTACACCAATCTACTGATGTTTGTTACCAAACTCTAATCTAAAATCTACATTTCTCGACGTCTAGGTGTTATCCACTAGGCTAGTGAGTTGAAGAATTTGCTGTTTGTACTAGAAATTTCAACTGTTAATTAATTTTTTTCTAAACTGAGTTGACTAGCGCATTTTAACTTATAGACTTCTTATTTCAAGAAGTTCTAACTTTACTCTTGCTGTTACACGGCTGGATATTATGTCAATCTGAAGGTTTGTAGAGATTTAATAATTGATTTCAAGTTGGAATTCATCATAGAATGACAACAGTTGAAGGAATATTGGAAAACTTGAAGCACTGGACAAGTGTTTTGTCCTAGTATGGAACTATTCAGCAGTGCGCACCCATGACTCCACCTCACCGGAGAGCAAACTCACTGCTTTAAGGTTCCTTGACCAGCAAGTTGCCGTTGAGGAGTTCGCTGAGGGATCCTATACTACGAAGAAACAGCTTGCCAGTGTTCCTTCAAATGATACCACTCTATGATGAATTTCAACCTGGATATTATTACATTGTGACTGGTTTTCAAGATCAAAGTTGGGGTTATCTCTATATTTGAATAGTTAACTTGGTTTATTTACATTTTAGTCAGTTTTATTCGGCTTGCTAAGACTTAAAACCCAGTATCTAGGATGTAGATGTGATGATAATATTGATTTCAGAACATCTGATGCAGCAAACTGATTATGAAGTGAATATGGATGAAATTTCTTGATAAATTCCAATAATATTTATTCTTCATCAGTAGATGATGTCAGCAGAGTTGTTGCTTCTAATAAGACAAGATTTTTGGTTTCGATAAACAGCAATGTCAAATTCTAAGGTGGTATTCATAACGGACTGACACCAGTTGGGAGCACTAAGCAGTTATCTCGTACTGGTATGCGACTCCTCAGCAGTGTACACATACACACGGAATTCCGAAAGGGATCAAACCCACGGCCTTCAAGTTTCGAAGGCATCACTTTGTCTTTGAGCCGGTGTATCAGAAAGCAACAGTTCACATTTTTGTACTTCTCTCTGTTCACGATATAAGGTGATCTTCATCCAATGCCATCAGCAAGTATTTGTCCTCACACTCAATTTGGCTGACCATACACCTTATGACTTCCTATTAAAACTGAATGAAACCCATATCGTAGAATGTCTCTAATGAGCATTGCACAGTAATTCAGAATGTTAGGCTGGTAGTTAACTGTTCATTATCTAGGTTTTTGCTTATCAGTATTAGTCAGTCCCCTGTGGGATTCGAACCCAAGTCACTGAGCCAATAAGCCATTCACCTCACGACTGGCCTCCAGTATGACTGAATTACATACATCGGTTGATCAGAGGAAGGAAATCAGTTTCAAAACTAGGCAACATGAAGCGTGTTACTCTCTAGTGTATCTAATCCAGTCATACATGTAGGTGGCCAACCGCTTGCCGAATGACTCAGTGGTAATCTCGTTGACTGAAACACTGGGAGACACTAGTTTGAGTCTGACAGGGGACTTCAGTTCCCTCGAGGTTCAAGATACGACTTGCTAAACAGTGCTGATAAGCATGAAACCTAGGTTCAGGTCTTTCTGCCAGTTCCCTTCAATCATCAGATATCGATAGAATTACACCGAAAAAGTGAGCATCCTAATTTGGTGACCACATTACAAGTATGATCGATAGAACTTGGTCTGCACTCAGGACTAAACATCAATCTATAAATCAACTATCTGAGAAATCCACAGTTAACATACGTATGATTATTTACCGTGATAATGGCTTAAATTGAAATAAAGTTTCAATTAGGAATATATATGAACTTGTATCCTCCGACTTTCCGATATATTCAAACAGCATTAATATTTATGATATTCTTTCACAGTCTTTCAATCATAAAACAACAAGATTTTTGTTCAAAACTGATCAGATAGGACAGCATACTATAATTAGTCGCATAGACCAAAGAAATACGCAACTGAGTACTTGAATATCAGCCACTGATCACGATAATTTTGTCTAACGACAAACGAAACAATCTTGACACCAAACAGTTGGTTTATATTCAGAGAATCCCTTAATCTACAAGATAATAAATCACATTCAACTTAGGAAAGATCATATGATGTAATTATACATCATCAATGTAAAAATCAGTTAATCTCGATATATCTTACTACTTACAAGTATATTTATTAGTAGTATCAAGGTTCATTTAAGTCAGTGAAACTCATTTAAGTTGTAGATGAATTTCGTTTACATGAAATAAGTTTTTTATGGTTCAACTAACACTGCACTTAACTTCAAACTGGTAAAACAGACATTTGCTTCTTAGATCACCTTCAACGACAGTCCTTCTTTCAGAATTCATGAAGTAAATTAAAATCTTCTGGTCAAGATAGTTTACTTGAAGTCGAATCAAGCAGGTTAAGAAGTAGGTTTTGATGATGGGAAGAAATCTTGAGAGACTGTAAAGGGAAATATACCGAATTTCTCAGTAAAACTTATAATTTATCAACTTTGTTAATATGACTTGTATTTCGAAGAATAAAAAAATTCACTGAGTTAATACATTAGTAACAAATCCTGAAACGAGATATGAATATCTGTTTTGTCTCCATAATAGATGCGTTGGAAGCGAATACTTTCTAAGCACATAAACAAACCTATTCAGAACCTTCAGTTCATTAGTAAACATCTAATGAATTCCAAAAGAGGATGAAAAAAAAAGCTATTTGAAGTTCCACAGTATCGGATTCCTTATTTTCATCTCAATGTTTAAAATCTATCAACCCTTCCGTTAAAACATAAAGATATACAGATTTTTTTTAGATCTCTACATCTTAAGATCTGACTAAAAAGTGAAAGCTTGATTCTTGACAGAATAACCTTATTCGGTCTAGTCTAGACTTAAATTTCGGATAATATTATCCCTTTTCGCTTATTATTATTTTTATTAAAGTAAAGCGGTGATGATAACTTGACTTTTAAAGTTCACTGGTGTAAACTACAGACAGAAATTTATGTTGATTGACTGTGTTTTCTTCTTCTTCTTCTTCGTGTCTTTATCATCGAAAGAATTCCGCCGTCAGTTTTTGATGTTGAGCTAAAATTTAAATGAATAATTTAAACAAACAGTAAGATGGATAATTTAATAGTTGAACGAATACTAAAGAAGTATTCTATCAAATATTTTCACTATGGTGTTCAAAATTCTGTCTGTTCTATCGACTCAATGTTTATTATTGATGTTTTGTTTAAAATATAAAAAGAGACTAAATGATCTAGTGAAGATGATATAATTAGCGGTTATTTATTATTATACTTAAATATAATTTTTAAAAATAACAATCTGATTAATTACTACGTGTCTTAAGGGGTGCACACGCACTTATTCGCTTATTAACTCATTCAAACAACTGAATTTATCCCTCTATGTATATGTTCACGTCTTTGAGGAATATGAAGTACTTTTGGTCAGTTAGAAACGTTTAGACAGTTGTAGGTACACAAAGGATATGATACTTAATATCTTTTTGGTGTTTCATTTGTACACATTCAACTAACTGCTTTGAAATTCCAGGGAAGAATCAGTTAATACGTCTAAAAAGTTAGTTTAACCTGTAGGAAATAGCAGTAGTGAACAGTCGCCAAAGAGAATGGTACATAATCTGTAGGGAACTTATTTTCATAACGCCCTGACTCATTAGACTGACTGATATTAGTTCGAGCCTGCACAGAAACATCGAATCAATGAAGTTTGTGGATATAATTTGGTAATGAGTGACAGTTTCCGAATTACAAGGTGAGCTAGAACATGAGTATGACAGATGATTTGTAGACATAACACCTAAACCTTTGAACAAGCCGATAGGTTTTTATTCTTATCGTTTGTATTTGTAGTTCAGTAGACAAGGCATTTATTTTTGAACCCTTAAGTGTCATGTTCTCTACTCTATTCATTTGTGTATGGACAAAAACAAAATTTATCAAATGGTTTACCCAACCAGTCCTTCATGCATATGCAATCCTACTAGTCTAATTTGTCAGCGTGCACTATGCCATCCAGAACTTATGACAAACGCATAAAGCCCAAGGTCACAGCTGTACTACTCACCCTACCTTCAAGAATATTAGAAGATTCAAACAATAGCCGAATATTTCCTACTCTCGAACTGAGCTTGCCTCAGTATTATGAACAATTATGCTGGTGTTTATCTGTTTCATTCTTTGCTGTCTTCAAAGCATCAATGTTCTTACTCTAGACACATCTTTTATGTACTGGGAAGAACGGTGTCTATTGTTAAGCTTCATATTGTACATAACAGTCAGTTCACAGTGCCAAAATGATCAGACCTGTAAACTGGTTTGTTTTCATGTAACTTGTGTTCTATGAATTATATTATTATTATTATTATTATTATTAACTGACCAGTAAACATAGCTTTATGGTTTGTATGCTGTATGAATCTGAGGTAAGGTGATAATTAGTATACTTCTATTAATTTTGCTTTGTTCACTATTTCTTTAAAAGCTTCACTAACTTCTCTTTGGTACTGAATTTTTTTTACTTTAGTTACCAAAAAATCCTTTGAATCGACTTCATGAGTCATGTGAAAGACTACTCAACGAATGTGCTTATCGAAATAAAAAGTCACTGAAATTTCGGTTCATTGATTTCACTTCTTTGAATGAAAACCATAATTTACAGCACACAATTACATATAGTACTCGAAACAGTCAGATGGATAGCAGTCCTAATGTTCATAATGATCATGACTACAGTATGCCGAATAATAAGTTCCAACAAAATACAAACTCATCTCAGTCAAGTGAAGAAATTCTTGACTATTCTATGAACCAACTAAAAAGTTCTTCTACTTCAGATTCTTCTATAACTTCATTCTCGACGGAATCAATCACATCTGCTGCATCATTTTTATCCGATGACTCCTCCTTTCCTTACTCTTGTTTCACTTCGTCTGCCTTCACAAATCCAAATCTTCCTCAAAAATCCCCAAATGATATTCTTTCAGTTCTACTCAATCAAAAATCGATCAGTTCAACTTTGGTACCATCTAGTGCCAATACTTTACTGCAACAACAATTAAATTCTCTGTATGTCAATACAAATAGTGTATCAATTCCACAAGTGAAGCAAGATATGCCTTATATAGGAAATTATTATGAATATGCAAAATTACTTTCAAATTTTTTAAATTATTTTTCATTACTTAACCATCTCAACACATCTAACACTACTGACTATCAAAATGTCAATAGTATTGATGTGAGTAGAACTGCCAATAACAAGAAAGGTGTATAGCTTATTTTTATTCCTTGATATTGAAAAATGACACTCTTGAATTTGTATTCTTATATATCCTTCTGAAGTGTAAAAATTCACTGTATATTATGGTTATGTTTAAACTTGTATTATCATATGAACAATTTTATCAATTAAATTCTTTTACATACTTTTATACACTATTCATATACTGTTTATATTATCATCTTATATCCAACTGATTGAGATAATGAAATGAAATAATCAAAATTCACATTGAAATGCTTCTTACAGGTCTCCAAACTTATTCACTCACCTCAGAGTAATCTGACATAAAGACAATAGATGTTCTAAACAGACGTACAAGGGAGGTGGATTAGCATCGCGAAGTGTCCAGAAGTGTATCAGCTTACATTACAACTCTTTTCAGCAGCGCAGAGATAAAATACACCAAGATGGAAGGGTATAAGAAATGGTCAGGTAGGTGATGTGGAAAGATAGAAGGCAGTAGTGGGAGTTAACAAGCATATTCGCGCCAGATACGTAAAATGATCCCCTCAAAAAGTAGCAAGTCAGCTTACCAGTGACGTCTTACCTTCAGAAACGATCATCGAGTTTTTCTTTGACAATAAATTAGCTTCAGATTGAAATAAGTTACGAATAAGTTCTCACTGAAAACGAGGCGTGAATTTTGGCACAAGCCAGTTAAAATGCCTTTTCCATTCAAATTTAGGAATAACAAAATTCTACGCAGTCACTGTGAATTACTAGCCTTTGATTTAACCACCTTCTGCTCACTATATATAGTGTTCGTCTGAAGTGTGGCAAAGAGATTTACGTCAATAAAATTTCACTGAAAGCATACGATTAGTGTACTACCTCCTTTTCTATCCTTCGAACTCTCGGTGTGATCATTGAGGTGTTTTACTGAACATAGGAACCAAGTTTATCAGAGTTTTGGTGTCTAGAAGCGGTAAGTAAGGTTGCAGAGGATATAAGACCAATTGATTTCGATAATGATTAACAAGATATACTTGTAAATCCAAATAAGCTAATGCTGTTGCATAGGCTGAAACAGAAGTTACCCAAATTGACAGTTGGGAACGAGACCAACTATCTTTATGGGTGTCATGTCCACCACCTCCTGCCTTTTAAAGCTATAGATAATATTCACTATTTTCATCAATATAGACTGGCATCTAACACAACATCAGATAATTCATACTTGAATGGGTATAAAGGTACAATCCAGCCCCTGAAATGTTCCTGTCAGCTTTTCTTCGATAATTCTGCTTATCGTCTCTACAGCAAGATTTAAAATCATGTCAGATTTAATTATGTAGCAATTAAACAATAATTATATCTATTCAGTGTGCATGAATGGTATACCTAAGAGACAACAGCAACCGAAAGTCTATTGAATAACTTATGCAGGATAACTAATAAGCTGTCGATGCCGGTTGCTAGAATTAGAACTGACGGTGAAATTTATCTTCGTTAGGAAATTGGATAAATTAAGACAAGTAATTCACACTCAAGTTTTTTTTGATGTTCAACGTCAAAATTCAATCGGTAAGAAGCTTTGAGCCTAGGTTTTGTAAATATATGACCTGTTGATGATCACCAAAAGCCGAAAACGTAGGCCCAAGGATATCTGCTGATTGCATCTTGAAGGCTAACGCCAAAATGCACTATACAGCGGTATCACATCGATTAGCTAACTCGTCAAATTGCAGACTAAGTTGACAGACATTGAGCAGTGCTCAAAAATTAAGCTACATCAGTTACAGTCATATGATCAACTTATACATATAACGCCGCATGCTGACTGATTTCAGTCACAGTAGGCAAGTATTCTAATTGTTTTACAAACATTTGAATACATCTGAATAAGTGAGTTGTAAGGGAAGATAAATGAAGCGCCTCTATTCTTTTTCCTTAGCACGTTCTAGGGAATTTCGGACATGAAGGAAAAGAAGATTTCTGCAGATGCTAAGTATGGACCTGCACCCGAAAAGAAAAATCTATGCGGGGTGTTAACTAGGCTTCTCCTATGAAACCACTCCAGTTTAATGTAATTACAAACAGAAATAAAGCGTGCTTACCCGCTTTCTCGATAATGTATTCTGTCCTACATCATACAGGATAATTCTGATAAAATTGATCAAACTCGATATGTTTGTACATAAATGTGATGTTTGAAGGATCAAAGTTAGCCGACATAGAAATAATAGTATTAATGGCAGTACTAGTAATACTAAACAGAAATGAATATCTTATGCCGTCAGAAATTGTCTTCTTAGGATTATGAGTAGCTTAAGAAATATCCACATTGATACTGGACAGGGATTGAACGAGAACTGAAAATCTGCTTGGCCGTATGATTCGGACCAGTGGTCTCTCGTATGAATTGTACAATCAACTTCAAAGCATCCTCGAAGTTAGTTGGGTGGGGAAAGAAAAACCTACTAAATACTCTATTTTCATCCTCTTGGAACCATGTCGGGCACTAGATATAACCGATCTTTGTTGTATAAAAGAATCACTTGAAGTGTCAGTTTCACAAGATGGCCACTGCATGAACAATACAATCTTCTACGCTTAAATGGGACAGTATACTGTCCACGCTTGGCACTTAAAGTTTGACTTCGGGAGCTGTTGCGTTAAAAATGTTTATCGGAAATAGTAGGATAGCCCTGAACCTTAGCCACTACTGGATTTTATAGGTTTATGGAAAATCTTGTTAAAATTGGAATTGTTGACTGGTGTTGCACCTCGTTTTTCGTTTGTTTATCAATAAATTGTCTGCAACAGTCCTTTTTAGAAGGTGTATCTATGTGATAAAGCCACGCACAGATAACGTCGTCAGATTTTCAGTAAGTAGAAATCCAGAAATATTGTTGCCCATACTCATCTTATGTACTATGGACAAAACAGGAGTTATTCTAATCCGCCCTGCGTTAGTCTGTACCAAACTTGAAACCCGTTTAGAAGCGCTATGTAATATACCTTGGTCTACAAGCCTCAGGAAGCATCTCAGTTGTCAATGATATCGAAGAAATTTTAAGTAAGAAAGCGGGAGTCCCTAATCCATCCCGTTTAGGAAATGACGAAGGAAATAAGTCAGAACCTGGATAATTGTGAATGTTTTAGAAACAACTTCAGCTTTTAAAAACCACCGCAGGTGGAGGGATAGTGGGTATTGTTTTAACTGTTTGTAAGTCAAACAGTTCTTCCATTATCATCGTTTGTGTAGGAACCGGATAAATGTTTGCTGAGAAGTTCGACCGTTGTCTCTTCTTCTTTGATAATATTACTGTCATGAACGATAGATGAGATACTCCACTGGTCCCTTGTCGGTCCGTGTTGAAAAAACCTGCACCGGGAGTTGACCTTGGAGTTGCCATGAAGGACAACCGACACTTCTTTGTAGACTTCAGCTGCGTTAGTACTGATATCATCCTAAATATTAATTAGAGCGAAATCATTTGATTTAACTTGGAAAATTTAATTCAAACGACTTTAGATAGATGTGGTTTTTTCCAATTCTGAATTTGAACGGTAGTAATTAGGACCGCCAAGGGTGGCAAAATGCAGCACTGTAGTTGACTGACAGGGAGACAGCATGAAGAAGCTTTACACTATATGGCTAAATGGTGTGGATGCCTACTTTGCAGACCAAGAAAAACAAAGATTATCTGTTCACTGGTGGTTACCAGTCGAGCTTGGTCACTTAACGATGGCGAAACTCCTCGTGACCCTGTGCCATAACAACCAATTCACTTTCAGAGTCGACTTGGCAGTAAACACGATCTGTGAGATGCAGATGGATAAATCGGTGGTGCGGGTCTACTAAATGCTAACAGCCAAGATTGCACTGGTTGCTCTGAGGGCAGTGCGGTTGAAAGGTAAGGCCGCTCAGCTTCCTGATTTTGGTAGTCACCGGCACTGAAGTGGTCTGAAGAGGGTTGGTACAGTTAGCCTTGTGAAGATGGGGGTATTCGGTCCGGAATGTTGGGTGTCGCTCGCTGTGGCCTTGGTCTTAAAGGTGACCTGGGAGCAGCTTCCGTTCGTGAAGTGTTGGTGAGAGGGGGATAACCCTCCGGGAAGATGAGCTGGGGTTCTTCTGTAAGGTTGTAGGGACTTCAATCGAACGCATCTCACGCGCGTCTGCCCAAGGAGGGTGGGTACTGTAAAACAATCCAACTACCTGGTAAATGTGAATGAGCTGAGACCTGATAGTTTGGAGGTTTTGGGATTACACTTATCAGTTTTGACGGGGGGTCGACAGGGTGCCCTGACAACAGCATTCGTTTTCATGAGGAGGCATTGGTATGATGTTTCCATCTCATTGAGAGACCGATGCCCCAAGATTTTGTATAAGGGTGTCCACTTAGACAAGGTGCTGTCTAGAACTGAGGGCCTGGCTGGAAATTATGGTGAAAATCCACCCTAGATGCGGTCGTTTCCCTGTCCTGTTTCGGCGTATACCAAGGTAACAAAATGTGGAAGCAGATTATGGAGCCAGAATATAAACCACAAAGTATGTAGTTATTTTAAGATGAGAAAAACCGATTCCAGCCTCGACAGAGGATTAGAAGTACTGGAAATCTCCAGTTAGCTCTTCAGAAGTTCCTAATCACCTTTGTTGGGTGACATCCACATTCTTGAAAAATATGTATTATGATTGCTATTCAGGAATTTCTGTCCGATGTGTTTACTAACTGGAAACAAGTTGCATAAATATGAAGTTCAAAATCCTGTATATGCGAACTGGTTTGTTCAAGCTTAGATTGCGACTATAAAATTCCACTCCATCCGTAAAATATCTATAACATCTAGGTGTTTTCCAAGGATCTCAGTGGATGCCAGGGTTGTTAAGATCTCCTGCTACAGTTCTGTAGCTAAGTTGGGGGAAGAAACATTTGAATAAATCACTGCTGAGGCTCAATAGTGAAAGATATGCACATCCTAATATCAGTGTAGTGTTACCGGAAGTATTAAGTATAACCTAAACAGAGTCGGAAGCTTACAGTCCT